CTACTCGTGCAAAGAATCTACGCAATAGACCTAGCTCATGATGCCACTGTTGGGGAACGTAGCAGAAATTCAAAATTTTCCTACGTGTCACCAAGATCTATCTATGGAGAGACCAGCAACGAGTAGAAAGAGAGTGCATCTACATACCCTTGTAGATCGCTAAGCGGAAGCGTTCAAGTGAACGGGGTTGATGAAGTCGTACTCGTCGTGATTCAAATCACCGATGATCCTAGTGCCGAACGGACGGCACCTCCGCGTTCAACACACGTACAGCCCGGTGACGTCTCCCACGCCTTGATCCAGCAAGGAGAGAGGAAGAGTTTGAGGAAGACTCCATCCAACAGCAGCACAACGGCGTGGTGGTGGTGGAGGAGCGTGGCAATCCAGCAGGGCTTCGCCAAGCACCATGGGAGAGGAGGAGTAGGGAGAGAGGTAGGGCTGTGCCAGAATTTCGTGTATAGCTCCCATGCGCCTCCCCACTATATATAGGGGTGGAGGGGCTGGTTTCTTGCCCTCCAAGTCCATTGGGGCGTTGGCCAAGGTGGGAGGAAAGAAATCTCATTATTTCCTTCCCCACCGATTGTTATCCCCCCTTTTTAGGGATCTTGATCTTATCCCTTCGGGATATGATCTTATTCCTTCTAAGGGGGGATCTTGGTGCGCCTTGACCAGGGTTGTGGGGCCTTGCCCCCACTACCCACGTCCATGTGGGTCCCCCCATGCAGGTGGGCCCCACTCCGGAACCTTCTAGAACCTTCCCGGTACAATACCGAAAAATCCCGAACATTTTCCGGTGGCCAAAATAGGACTTCCCATATATAAATCTTTACCTCCGGACCATTCCGGAACTCCTCTAACGTCCGGGATCTCATCCGGGACTCCGAACAACATTCGGTAACCACATACAAACTTCCTTTATAACCCTAGCGTCAACGAACCTTAAGTGTGTAGACCCTACGGGTTCGGGAGACATGTAGACATGACCGAGACGTTCTCCGGTCAATAACCAACAGCGGGATCTGGATACCCATGATGGCTCCCACATGTTCCACGATGATCTCATCGGATGAACCACGATGTCAAGGACTTAATCAATCCCGTATTCAATTCCCTTTGTCTATCGGTATGTTACTTGCCCGAGATTCGATCGTCGGTATCCAATACCTTGTTCAATCTCGTTACCGGCAAGTCACTTTACTCGTTCCGTAACACATCATCCTGTGATCAACTCCTTGGTCACATTGCGCATATGATGATGTCCTACCGAGTGGGCCCAGAGATACCTCTCCGTTTACACGGAGTGACAAATCCCAGTCTCGATCCGCATAAAACAATAGATACTTTCGGAGATACCTGTAGTGCACCTTTATAGTCACCCAGTTACGTTGTGACGTTTGATACACCCAAAGCACTCCTACGGTATCCAGGAGTTACACGCTCTCATGGTCGAAGGAAGAGATACTTGACATTGGCAAAGCTCTAGCAAATGAACTACACGATCTTTTGTGCTAGTCTTAGGATTGGGTCTTGTCCATCACATCATTCCCCTAATGATGTGATCCCGTTATCAACGACATCCAATGTCCATAGCCAGGAAACCATGATTATCTGTTGATCACAACGAGCTAGTCAACTAGAGGCTCACTAGGGACATATTGTGGTCTATGTATTCACACGTGTATTACGATTTCCGGATAATACAGTTATAGCATGAATAAAAGACAATTATCATGAACAAGGAAATATAATAATAATACTTTTATTATTGCCTCTAGGGCATATTTCCAACACTTTTTGGGCAGAAGCTGTCTCGACGGCGGTCTATCTTCTCAATCGGGCTCGAACGAAGGCGGTGATCGGCAAGACTCCGTATGAAGCAATTTACGGACGTAAGCCGAATGTGTCTCATCTACGGACGTTTGGGTGTGTGGCGCATGTGAAGGCGGCAGAGCCGCATCTCTCAAAGCTTGCCGATCGCAGCACCAAGATGGTGTTCATCGGATACGAGAGGAGTTCCGGCACCAAGGCATACCGCTTCTACGATCCATGAACCAAGCGTCTACGGATTTCAGGCGGAGTCGGTTTGAAGAAAACCAAGCATGGAATTGGAGCGCAGCAGCCGACGATGCTGCAAACGGTGACATATTCACAGTTGAATTTCCAACTGACGTTGATGCAAGGGAAGACATCCAGGTGGTTGGCAAGACGCACAACCAAGGTGACCGCAATGGCAGTGATCACCATGGTGCCGACACCGACGACGACGCGCATGGGTCGCAAGGTGATAGCGACAACGACGTGCACGACACAGGCGGAGATCTCGACAATGAGGCGCATAGTGATGATGACAATCAAGATGATGGTCACGATCACGGCGACTACGCCAATGACGCGGATGCCAACGACCCGGCATTTACCACGCTCGAGACTCAACCGTCTTCCTCAAGTGCATCGACGCCGACACAATTTGTGTCGCCCCCTTCGCAAGCCACGACAGATTCTTCCGGGCCTCGTCGCTACAAGCCCCTCAAGAAAGTCTAGAAGTACGCAAAGCCAGTTACGCTCGAGTACTCTGATTTGTGTTTACTCGGAGTTGAGGAGCCGGCGAACTTCGTAGAGGCGAGCAAAAGTTCAAGTTGGATGCACGCCATCGATGAGGAGATGAAGGCGATTGAGAGCAATGGCACGTGGACTCTGGTAACCCGACCTCCAAACCAAAAGGCCATAGGTTTGAAGTGGGTTTACAAGTTGAAGAAGGACACGAAGGGTGCCATTGTGAAGTACAAGGCAAGACTCGTCACAAAGGGCTACGTACAACGTCAAGCAGTTGACTATGAGGAGGTGTTTGCACCGGTTGCTCGAATCGAGACGGGACCTGTGATAGCAAGATATAGACAAAGAACAATATGGCTATCACAAAGTAAAGTGCATAAGTAAAGGGGCTCGGGTAAGAGATAACCGAGGCACGTGGAGACGATGATGTATCCCGAAGTTCACACCCTTGCGGATGCTAATCTCCGTTTGGAGCGGTGTGGAGGCACAATGCTCCCCAAGAAGCCACTAGGGCCACCGTAATCTCCTCACGCCCTCGCACAATGCAAGATGTCGTGATTCCACTAAGGGACCCTTGAGGGCGGTCACCGAACCCGTACAAATGGCAACCCTTGGGGGCGGTCACCGAACCCGTACACTTTGGCAACCCTTGGGGGCGGTCACCGGTACCCGTCAAATTGCTCGGGGCGATCTCCACAACCTAATTGGAGACCCCGACGCTTGCCCGGAGCTTTACACCATAATGATTGAGCTCCGAACCCCACCAACCGTCTAGGGCGCCCAAGCACCCAAGAGGAACAAGCTCAAGGGCACCAAGCACCCAAGAGTAATAAGCTTCTCAACTTGTAACTTCCATGTATCACGTGGAGAAGTCAAACCGATGCACCAAATGCAATGGCAAGGGCACACGGAGTGCCCAAATCCTTCTCTCTCAAATCCCACCGAAGCAACTAATGCTAGGAAGGAAAATAAGAGGAAGAACAAGAAGGAGAACACCAAGAACTCCAAGATCAAGATCCAAGGGGTTCCCCTCACATAGAGGAGAAAGTGATTGGTGGAAATGTGGATCTAGATCTCCTCTCTCTTTTCCCTCAAAAACTAGCAAGAATCCATGGAGGGATTGAGAGTTAGCAAGCTCGAAGAAGGTCAACAATGAGGGAAGAACACGAGCTCAAAGGATAAGGTTCAATGGGGAAGAAGACCCCCTTTTATAGGTGGGGAAAAATCCAACCGTTATGCTCATAGCCCGCACCGAGCGGTAGTACCGCTTGACATCACGGTACTACCGCTAGGGGTAGCGGTACTACTGCTAAGGGTAGCGGTACTACCGCTTGCGAGCGGTACCCGGCGCGGCAGACTCCCTCTAGCGCCAAGCAAAGGAGGGATGATGTGGGTGGACATGCTCAGAGCTAGGCGGGAGATCGGGGCTCCGGGGTAATGGCACAGGAGCTCGGGGCAGTTCACACAGCAGGTGTTCACACAGCAGGTGTTCGACGAAATGTCGGGGCGGACATGTCACAAAATGAGTTCATCTTTGTTGGACGCATCTGCCGACCCAAACAAAATCCCGCTCCGTTGGGCGCACCTTCGTTCAGTCCTTCTACTGTTGCCTCTCTACTCTCTTGGGAATATATTTTAAGAAGTCCGTGAATTTTACAAAACTTCAGTATTTCAAAAAAAATCCTAAATCTATAAAAGATATAACAAATTTAAAAACTTAATGAATTTGAAAAAATGTGTGAATCTAAAAAAAGTGAAGAGTTTGGGCATTCCCTTTCTTGACACATGTATTACTTTGGGATATGGTGGGGTAGAAACCAATGTGTGGCTGTGTGTTTTTGATTCAAATTTTTTTAACTTCATTGCTTCATTGTTGTGTAGTCACTGGGGTGGATCTAGCAATTTTTTGTGCGATGTGGGACATTCCTTTTGCCTTGCATGTGTGCTGCATGGCGTCGTAGTTGATTTGATCACGTAGTTTAGTTTTGTCCGCTTTCTGTGGGATGGCTGCTTTTTTATTCCACCTCTGTGTTTGTCTCCCGCTCGGTTGTATGCTGCTTGATTTTTGCCTCTGTAGACGCGTGTCCGTGTTATTTTTTGCATGTGGTGGTTCTGGTTGTTGCGATTTACATGCATATGCGGCATGCTGGTTGCCTAAATTCGGGTCTTGAACGCCGCTTAACTCGATGGTTCTGGTACTCGCTCGCCGCTTTGGTCGTTGTTCTGGCCACGTGTTCCTGCCGACATCGTGCCGCTTAATTCGATGCTTCTTGATCGCCGCTTGAATCGTTCTTTCTAGATGAGCGGAAGGTGTATAAATAGTGGGATTCGCTTCTGTTTCACCGCAGCACTGGCCAATTCCTCCTCACCGTGCCCCGCTACATCGTTGTGCCGCATTGAGCCCACCAGCACCGCGTGGGAGATGCCCCTCACGGCCGGCGGCCAGATCACCAACTTTCCCATCCTCTTCTGCTTCGCCTTCGTCTCCTGCCTGCTGCTCTTTCTAAATCCTCTTCTCTGCCGTTATGGATGACCTCCTGTAGCCATCCACCACGCGATTCGACCAGGAGATGGTGTCGACGCCAGTCGCTGCGACGGCAGCTCGGCATGCGCGTCAGCCTGGTGAACGAGCGCATCCGGTCGTACACCCATGAGTGGGAGTTCGGCGTCATGGGCACCATGGACGAGTTGCACCTCTGGGCCGTGCCCGAGTGTGTTACCGGTGCCAGGCCGGCTCGCTGTGATGTCCAACATGAAACTACCCGTCGATCAACGGCGCTAGCGATACCCGGAGGTTGGCGGCGGCCATTGCATCATCAAGGAGAAAAGGCCGCGGCACAAGCGCAATGGAAGCGAAGAAACAGCATCCTTGCAGCAGCGTCGTGGGGCTGGTGGACGACAGGCCGCGGCTGATGATCCTGTCCCGGAACGGGTTGCCCGCGCTCGAGAAGGAGGCCGAGCTGGCGGCGGCGAGGGCCAGGTTCCGCGTGACCATGCTCCGGCGGCTCCCGGACGCCGGTGGGCACACGGCACACGCGTGGTGATGTGGCCCTGGAATGCATGCTAGCATGTACTACACGGGTGGCCGGTCATGCGGGCGAGACGAGTCATGGGTGACGGCTGTGTGGAGTTGCGATATGGCAGCGGCATCAAGGAAAACCCCCCATAGGAACGGACCTATGCGCGTGGGCGCGCGGGGTGGTCGCCGGCCTCGACCACTCCTCCTTCCGCCTCCCCGCCCACTTCTTCGCCGTTTACGATGGACGACTAGCGGTGCCCGATCGCCGACTACGCAAGCTACACGCCGCGTCGCCGCAGAGGACCTGCCTGCCGCAGAGGACCGCGTCGGAGCCTTCGAAAACCTGCCGCCTCGAGCTCGCGACCTCCCAGGCGGACGGCGTCCTGCCGTTCCGTGTCACTTATACAACGGTTACCGGAGTCGGAGGTCTTGTGGTGCCGGTGGCCGCCTCTCGATTTTTTTTCGTGTGGCTCCGCCTCCAAAGCCATCGCGCCGGTGACAACACCTTCCCCGGCATGTGTCGCATTGTCACAGCAAGGCCGCATTGCTCCTTTTGACCTTCTCTGATCGACTGGGTGCCCGAAGCAAGGTGGCGACCATCGTGCCGTCCCCAACCGAACGCCCCCGCCCGCAGCTCCGCGACGCTCTGCTCGAGCGCGATTAGCGCTTGCTCGAACGAGCCGTACGCGACGGTGGACCGTTCGCAGGTGGCAATGCAAGGAACTCGCCGAGTGCGGCTAGGGCATCCTCCACGTGCGTGAGCTCCGAATACCCGTCCGCGGCAGAGGCTGACTATGCATGCCTTGAGCGCGCAGACTCCGGCGTCGAGGTGTGTGTGGACGCGGGTGGCACGGCAACCGGGCGTGTCCAGTCTTCCCCTTCGGCCCGGTGTCTCCAAGTGTGAAGTGCATTATGTGACGAGTATCACCAGCGTTGGTTTACTTGGCACGTTCGATGGATGGCCTCAAGAGTACGTACGTGCCTGGGCACCGTGGTTTGCTGCAACTTGCATGGCAGGGAAAGCTCCTGTTCGTCCACGGTGGCTGGGCCTGTTTACTGTCCTTCGGCGTGGGGGCAGAACTACTATTACAATGGACGAGCGATGATCCCAGCGCTTTCAATGTTGACATCCCTATGCGAACGGGAGATCTATCCACATAAGTGAGCACTTGAAAATTTAACGGTACATGTTAAGTTGTTCTTTTTTTTTCGAAAAAAACTTCCAATCTATTCATCTTCAATCATGGCAGTACAACGAATACCAGAAATAAAAATTGCATCCAGAATCATAGACCACCTAGAGACGACTACAAGCACAGAAGCGAGCCGAAGGCGCGCCGCCGTCATCACCCCTCCATCGCCGGAGCCGGGCACAACTTGTTGTAGTAGACAGTCGGGAAGTCGTCGTGCTAAGGCCCCATAGGATCAGCACCCCAGAACAGCAACCGCCGCCGATGAAAAATAACGTAGATCAGAAGGATCCAAACCGAAGGCACACAAACGTAGACGAACAACGACGAGATCCGAGCAAATCCACCAAAGATAGATCTGCCGGAGACACACCTCCACACTCCCACCAACGATGCTAGACGCACCGCCGGAACGGGGGCTAGGCGGGGAGACCTTTATTCCATCTTCAGGGAGCCGCCGCCGTCTCGACTTCCTGAGTAGGACACAAACCCTAACAAAATTGATAAAAACGACTAAAAACGGAGCCCTCCCGCCGGCCCTTGCCAGTCTACCGCGCCTCCATGACCATAGAACCACCGGAGACGAGGCGGATCTGCGCCAGCGCCGGCGAGAGGCACGAACCCTAACTTTTTTTCTTTCAGGAGGAGAAGGATCCGAGGAGGACAGCTCGGCATGCGCGTCAGCCTGGTCAAGGAGGACAAGGCACTAACCAGTACAGCCGGAAGCATTTGTACGTGCAGATGGAGCACCATGAGATGCTCTCTGAAGTACGAATTTTGTATCTGTATAATCGGAATGGTTGGATTCTGGATTGATGCGCTTTAGACCAACGACCCAATGTGCCTATTTGAACAGAATCCAGAAAAAAGTTAGGCATGACATACATACACGGATACAGCAACACACCTGTTCAAGCAGGAGTTTCCACAGCCGCGCGTCGACCCAGCGGCGTTGGCGACTTTTCTGCTCGCCGGCCGGCCGTGTATAGGTCGACCGAGGCGGGAAAAGAGCGGGCCGAGGCATGCGACGGCGGCCTCGTCGCCGCCAGCGAGGAGGGTGAGCGTGCCGTTGCTGGCGCGGACACTGCCGCTGGAGCCAACGGCGTGGCAGCCCAAAGAGCTCGTGCATTCCAGGAGGGCCTGGCTGGCAGTGGACTCCGGTGAGGAACGGGCGTGGGCATTGGTTGCACATGAATCGGGTGGGCGTTTCTGGTGGTTTCTTCCTCTGCATGGGTTGGGTTGGGTCAATGCGCGTGGCCTTTTGAATTAGCATTTGCATGCATGCAGCCTTGGGAGGTGATTTTCGATATGGCTACTTGCATGCAGGCATCTTATTTCTCAATGGCCGGTAGAACTAGGCAGGGTTTTTCTTTTCTTTGCATGTACCGGCTATTGCGAGTATTGACGCGTGATGAGTGAGCGTTGACACGTAACATATTGACATGTAACCGGTGCCTTCTCGATAGCTCAATGTATCGTCCTTTTCTGGAATTGCTATCAGTCTATAAATACGGGATTCCCTTCAGTTATGTACTTATGTTGCAAGCCAGCTGCGTAGCGTTCCAAGCCTAGCGGCGCCGTACGGGGCGGGGGCGCCGGCGCCCCCGCTCGTACGTACGCGGCGGCGTACGGGGCGGCGTACACACACATACAAACATACACACACTACACACATATACACACACACATTTTTTACTTATTTTCTGTTTTCTGTTTTCTGTTTTTTAGAAAATTTAATTAGATATTAATTAGTTAAGTATGTGAGATTTGAGCTAGTTGAATAATTAATATAACTAGTTTATTTTTAGTTAGAAAATTGTCGAACTAGTTTATTTAGGTATATGAGATTTGAACTAGTTGAATAATTAATATAACTAGTTTATTTTTAGTAAGAAAATTGTCAAATCTCATTACAGTGACGACACGGAGTAGTACGTACTGGTTAACTTTGCCATTGACACGTTTGGTCAGTTATTAAATCTGACAGCTCAATTTTTTTAACTCAATAACTGGTGCACCATTGGTCTAGCAAAAGGACGAGCACACATAACATAACAGGCACTTTGCAACTATGGTTTATGCAAATACGCTCCTCGTTATTGCCTCCTCTGGCTCCATCACGTTCTACCGGAGGCAAACGGAACGGATCATCTGACATAGAGAAGGAAAGTCACGATGCTATAGTGCTAACCTAGTATAAAATAAAGAAGGAAAATTAGAGACTATTAATAGGTAGAAACTGAATTTGGGTGTGTACTCTGTTAACTGAAGAACAAAAATAGGGGAAACAGAGCATGGACACTGAATAATTTGTGTTCCAAATTGCTGCTTCAATTCAGATACATTACTTGCGCACAGATCACCTCCTCTATCCTGACAGGCCTAAATGCCCATTCTAATGACGGGTGAACAACAAATAAAACAAAAACAGAGCAAT